TCCTTTCTTATTTGATAAATGAAATGTATACAATAATAATTAATTCTTAATATATAGTTGCGATATGTTGTGGTTGATAATTTCATGAGTTAGAACATAACTTGGAAAATAAATTGAAAAATTATATGATAATATACTAGCTATTAAGTTTTACTTAACTATTTAAACTATAAAATTAAAAATTGTATACCATATTCTATATAATAAGTTAATTAAAATCTATTTTATTTAATAGAATTATACTATATTCAAATATAATTGTACTTTAAATAAATAAAAATAAAATACGAAATATAAAAAATGCTAATACCTTTAAATCTTTTTCTTTCACCGTTGTTAAAACTTATATCATTAAAACTTTTTACTTATACTCATCTCTATCGAGTATCCAATTAGAACCCTTATTAGTACAAATAAAAAATCGCTGCCGGGACAATACTCCTGTACCTATTCAAACTTTATTTTGGGCTTCAATAAAAAAATTTATACTGCATCACTTTAAAAAAGTTGTTTTTCATTAAACTACTATATTTATGATAATAATTTTTATAATATACTAAATAAACTACTTTTAATTACAATATAAATAATTAATTAATTTTAAAAATCCAATACTAAAAAAATCCATTTATGTATAATATTATTTTCTAATATGGATTATTTAAATGAAATTTTAACAAATATGTTTTATTTACACATAAAATATATACAGCTTCTACGTATGTATAAATTCTATATATATTTTTAATATCTATATTTAAATATATATTTAAAAAATATAGAATTTGTATATATATAGAATCTATATATATATTATCTAATATCTGTAGCTCAAATATAGATAGATTATATAAATATATATATATATATATATATATATTATATAGAATATTAAATAATATTTATATAATCTATCTATATTTATTAGTTTACATAATTTATTTTAATTAATATAATTTTAATTATTAACACGTGTTACGACAATTATAATTTAAATTGATATTGAAAACATATATAAAATTATTTATATTTTCAACGCGTGTTTAAATAAAGAATATAAAGGAACATTTATTTTCATATATTTTTTAAAATGTAAAATTTATTAAACGTATTTAATAGACGTATAACTTAAAATGCTAGTATGTAAAAAACTTTTTTCTCATCTTTTCTATTTAATATTATATTATAGTACATTTATAACGATAATAGATAAAGAATTATAGTATATAGCATAGAAAACACGCATTATTTTATATAATTATATAAAATATAATTATATATGTAATTTCTAATGTTTACTAATTTTTTGTATAGTTTTACAAGGTCTTTATTGCAATATATATTGCTTAATAAAAAGAAGATGTCTCAGTCAAATATGATTGCAAATGAGAATAGTGTTTGTCGTTTCGATTCAGATAACTAAAATGTACGTTCAATAATACATGAAGTTTTTTATTTAAACAACTATTTTTAAGAAGTTTCAATTGAAATAACACAAATTAAAACTACTATCGCTAATATTTAATAACATGTTGATATATAGTAAGAAAATTCCACAAATTAATGCTATTTTAATTCAATACGTAACAATTTGGTGAAATACTTTGCTAAAATACAAAAGTATGAGTATACTAAAAACCAAATAAATACAGAAATATAAACGTATTGAAGACAAATATGAAATTTCTTTTTCCTATAAATATATGATTGGTTAATTATATTTATTTCGAATTTATATAAATATGAATACTGTAATATAAGTGTGTATATATTGCTGAAGAAATATTTTTAATTTTTGGCTAAGCATTTTAGTAAATTTATATTCACTGAAATAGAACGACACGGACATTTTATTAAAATTTTGGTAAAAAAATTTTTTTTTATTTATTTTTTTTTTCTATATAAATATTTAAATTGAAATAGTCTACATACAAGTAAATAGATATATTTGTAAATTTTGTAAAATATTTTAATTAAAAAATGTTATCTATAATTTTGCCAAGTCTTTTGGCATATCGATTAGTTTAATAATAACATGAGTCCCTTTATATTTGTAATTATCAATTTACATTAATATTAATTCATTTAATTGAAGAATGGTTTTTAGGTATTAATTTTTATATTCTACATTGTAACCAACTTTCTTTACATTTTTATATAATTAACATTTCTTTTTCTTGGTAGCACTCGTTCAAATTCGAAAAAAACTCGAAAACTAATTTATTATAAATTATACTTTATAATATATTACACTATATACATATTTTTATAGCAGTATATTATCAAATATTACTAATTAGAATAAAGAAATTTTTATTTTTAATAAATACTCCAGATATACACTAAAAATATTTCAATTTATGTACGAGTTGAAACATGTATAGTCTTTGTGAGTCTTTATGAGAAAAAAATTAAAATTCTAAATGTAAGCTGCGTGACGTGAAATATTGGACAGATACAGAAGGAACAAAACAGACAGATAGAAAAGGAAGGAAAAGATATATAGAAATCGAGAGAGAGGGACTTGTCACGACAGATACGAAAGAACCTGTTGCAGAAGCGATTTTGCGATTTCGTGGGTAGTTATGTATGAATAAGCGCACAGTTTATAATTTATAAGTAACAATGAATTTTTGCTTAACTTTTTTGCTTAATTTTTTTGCTTTTTTTTTAGAAAAATTATATTATAATTTTATTAGTAAATATAAACATACATAATTATTTTTATTAAATATTTAATATAAGTGACAGATTAATAATTGAAATGGATTATTTATTAATCACTAATATTTTAGAACGTTGAATTTATTCTTTATAAACAGTTTTCAGAAAATTAACTCATTTTAATCAATTATCAGTTCACTGATTTATTTAGATTTTTAAAAATTTACTTGTATTTATTTACAATGTATTTTCTAACAACTATAAAATCATTCATTATTAATAAGTTATCAAGTAAATACGATTATTAGAAATGTTAATAATTGTAAATTTAGTTTTGACTTATGTTAATTATGTTACCTATTCAATATTTACTGTATATTTACTATGTTTTTTGTTATGTTAACTTATTATGTATCTTATATTAACTATTTAATAAAAAGAGTATTAAATTTATGAAGAAAATTTATTTACCACGACTAATTTAATACTATATGAAACTGACTGTTAACAAAAAAATCTATTATGACCAACGAACCTAATTTAAATAATATATATATACATGCATATATAAGTTAAGAATGGGATGTTCAGTTTTTTATATTATTTGAATTTTTTAAATTGAACATTATTACTAATTAATTATAAATTATACTTCAACAATTTTCATTATAATTATTATATTAGTAAAGGTTCATTATATTTTCAACCGTTTTAACTATAGTTTAATATTTATTAATAAAAACTTTTTAAAATATTACATTTTTTTTGTTTAAATAATGAATTAAATAAATAAAAAGAAAAAATTTTAAATGTATAAATTAAAGATTTTTAAAATATTTTTAAAAGTAATGTTAAAAATTTTTATGTCACATATTCTAAATTACACAATTTTAAAGAAATTTTACGTTAATGTTTCTATGAGATTTTTGACGGTTATTATATTACGTTACAGATTCTATAAGTATTACAATAAATTATGAGAACCTATTTATATATAAAAATAAATTTTCATTGAACAATTTATTACGTAAAATTAATTACGTAAAATATTTATTACGTGAATGTTTGATTTTTTAATAATTGAAAAGTTTAGAAAATTCAAATATTTATGTATAATTATATTAATTATTTTAATAATTATTATTTTAAAATATCTAACAATATAAAAGTAACTTATTTTTAAATAAAGTTGAATTTCATAATCTACTCTAATTTTATACTATCATTATATTTTCATGTTGATTTTCATGCCATACGACTATAAAATAATATCTATAACTCATCTAATTAAAATACAAAATTTCGAATTTTGTAAATATAAGAATATCTATAATAAAATTGAAAACAGAGGTCAGCGCTCTTTTAGATTTTTAAATTCTAAAGTAACTGACAATATCAAATTTTGTAATTAAAGTATAAATACATAATTATTACTTTTATCATAATATATTTTAGAAATGTAGATAATTAAATATTTTTTACTGCAATAAATAAATTTAGTATCCCGGCTATTTCGAATACTTTTACGAATAATCATATTAATTATAAAAAAAATATCAAAATGTTATTTATTTGAATTTTTAATTCTTTTCTTTTTAAAACTATTTCATTGAATTTTTTTCTAACATCTAAAATTAATATTAAATTAATACTCTTCGTGAATGTCGTATGGCATAGTACGAACGTATATGCATACGAACGCATGCAACAAGAAAAAAATTGATCAATGGTTATATCTCTTTCTGTACGATCTTAATTCATCTAATTACTTTAAAATTTTTAATTTGATTAATTTTCCAAATTTTATACGATTACTTTAGTTTTAATTATGTTACAGTATTTGATATGAATTACATTAAACCAAGATGTAATATTTTTACAACATTGCAAGTAACGGCACGTATCTTTTCACATATTCTTACAATATAATAAATATTTATATGCCTAAAACATGAATTATAATCAGCTTTTCATTAATATATTTTTTTTATATTACATTAATTTAAATGTGGTTATTATTTTGAATTTATTTGAATCTTTAATGAACATTTTTTAAAATGGTTTTCATACATATACAGTTTTCATACTTGTATAGATTAAAATAATTTGAGATTTGCGTATGATACGACCGTAATAAACGACTTTTCGTGAAATGTGATTTTATACCTCACGCACATATAATGCACTCCAGCTATCGATTTTGCACTCTCTTTCTCGAACACAAAAAGCTGAGTTGATTAAAACACTCCCCTCAAACTTATAATTGTTTTAAACAAAGTAGCACAATTTAGAGCTGCTGCAACAAAATTATATGTAGATCTGTTGAATATACACACCATGATTGATTGTGTAAACACTGCGTTGAAGTGTAATTATATAAATACGGAGTTCACTGCAGGCTCGTTCTCTGTGTAGTTCACTTTGCACTGTTCGACACTTATCATCATTATAACTCTGTTATATCATTGAAAACAATAGTCATTTTAATAAATGAACGCGCGCGAATGAAGAAAATCATGAAATAACTTTTGTTTGAATGACTTTTATTTTAAGCACCGATAGTACAGAGCACCGAAGAATAATGATGCAGGATGAAGGATAGATAGGAATTATATAGATTTCTTTAGTTCTTAGTAAATGAATTTGGAAAGAGAAAGAATTTATAACACTTATTATAGAATTAGAACAATAAATAAATTATAAAATACCTTTTCTTCCTATTTTTGAAATTATAAAATAAAAAATATTAGAAATAAAAAATACAATTTTTAACATATTCCAATTATCATACGTTTTTCTATGAAGATATCCGATTTTAATAGCATGTATTTCACATAAAAGTACTAAATGTTTCATAAAAAGAAAAAAAGATAGATGCAGACAAATGTGTATATTTCTGGTACGATTGTAATCAAAAGATATTATTTTTATAAATGTTAAATAAAATTAATGCAAAAGAAGCAAAATAATTTTTTTCTTTTAACTTTATATTCAAATCATTAAATTTCTTATTTAGTTCAGTTTAGTTAGCAGTTTAGTTTTTATTCGAAATATTTAAAAATCCTTTACAATATTAAAGATAATTAACATCGATGTTATGAAATAGTACAAGCTTTAATACTTCCATATTTTTAATAGTTAGATACCAAAAAATACGATATAATAGTTAGATAATAAGAATGAAGTTTAAAATTAATACGGTTGATTCAAATATTTATTGTTTACACAATAGCTAGTAAAGTTCAATGAGTTGCTTCACAAAACAATGCATTAATTATATCACTGGTATAATTTGTGCATAAAAGAGCAAAATCATGAGTATCTATATTATCATATACGCAAAATTAATTTCAAAATAAGTAAAATGAAAAAAGGATAGAAGCGTAAGAAGAGGATGTAATAAGAAATGGTTGTTAGACAGAAACTGCTCACCTGGGACAGATCATGACGTGCGTCATCTGGCGCCCCTCGCCGCGCACTTAACCGCTCTCCGGCACCCTGAACGTTTTCACCCTCTGCGCTTCCTCACTCACTGGCTCTCTCTCTCTCTCTCTCTCTCTCTCTAATCCTTGCTCTCACTCTTATTCCGTCTCTCTCGTCCCCTGTATTCTCTGTATCTCTCTTATCCCATAGCTCTACTGTACGTCTCTTTCTCTCCCTATCGGTGACTCGAAAGTCGCACTGGGATGTCTGCTACACCGTTATCTCTCTTTGCTTCTCGTCATCCTCCCCTTAGTTTTATACCCTAGAGACAATAGGACATCCCGAATATTTTTCTCTTTCTACAACTTGGATTCATGTGCATATAACTTTTTTTTAATATAAATTGCAACTGCTACGTTATTATTAGTACAATAATAAATATCATAGAATCAAACTTCAAATGGCTTGAAAGTGTTTATTGTAGATAAAATCTGAAAGTTCTAACAAATATATAAAATTAAACTCGTTGTACATAGACATATTTTTGATTAAATTTGTTATCGATTTTTATTAGAAAAAACTATTTCAATACAATTTTTTACAAAAACACTATAAAATTTTAATGACAATTCTTTTAAATTGTCTTACAAACTTTATTATCATTGTATTATGTCAAGTGAAATTTTAACGTAAAAAAAATAATGAGAATTTATTTGTAATATTATACAAAATTTTAATATATCAATATTTTTTATCAAATTATCTGAATAATAGATTTCTCATTTAATTTTTCATATTAATACATTTTGTTTTTGCTTTTAACTTCGTTGACTCACAATACTAACATGATTACCAATAATAAAGTTCGTAATAAATAATGTAATTAGAATTGAATTATTTCAATTTAATGGTCTATTTATTAAAGTAGAAAGATAAAAAATAGAAAATCAATTTATTTAATCAATTAAAATGAATTTTTTTTAATTTTAAATCTTTATTATAATAATTTAGAATTTTTATATTTTTAAAAATTATAATTTTATATTCATATTTTTAAAACAATTTTATTTTTATTTTTTGACATAAAATTTGAAAAATAATGTATATTGTAATCAATTTAGTGAAAGGTAAATAAAAGAATGATTATTTAGAAGTTGTGAATGTATACAAATAAAAATTTTCGGATAAGAAATCTATAAAGAAAAATCTAATACTAATGATCGTAAATAGAAAAAATTGATTCTTCTATATGTTAGAAATTGAACATTGATTAAACTGGCATTTATAAGCAAATGTGTTTATTTATAATTTATAAAAATGACTAAAATAAAATTTAAATGTTAACATTTAAAAGCAAATATATTATCATTTTTATGTGGATCCATAATAACAATTATATAATACCAGCGCTCACGACTGCGGATAAAATAAATTTCAAGAGCAGTATTTTAAACAAAGATAAAAAATTCAACATTTTTGAAATGCCCTGATTGAGATACTAATATTATAGATATATGTATTCATTTAATTTCTTTAAATTTTTTATGAAAAGTATATCCTTTTTTCATTATAAGTTTCATTAAGTATATCATTTTTTATTTAGAAACAATTAGAAAATTAACGGCTCTCCATACCACTTATTATCATTTTTAACAAATATATGTGTTTTTTATCAATGTAATTTCAATAAATTAATTCTTATCATAAATTTCAGAAGCTGATATATTTAAATAAATATTATATGTACAAAAAATACAGATTATTGTAATAAAAATAAAATTTATAGAATTTCAAAAAATTTATAATAATATATACGTAGAAATTAATGTAAATAAAAAATAATAAAATACCTAATAGTATTTATGTATAAATAAAATATATAAAGTTTTTAAACAGATAAAGAAGTTGTAAAAGTAAAGTTGAAATTGAAAATTGTAATTTCGAAAATATAAAAACAATATTGTATATTGTAATAGTACATAGAAGAAAATATTTACTATCGAATAGATAACAAGAAATAAAAAAAATGGACACGTTTTATTAATGAAGTGATACATGTTATTAATGAGTTAGTAATAAGTCAAGAATAATTGAAGTTAAAATTGATGAATGTAAAATAAATATATATACATATCAATTATAAATTAGTCGAAATATAAATAAAATTTTCAGAAATATACTTATATATAATATTGAAATATAACATATACATTAGATAACAATTTTCTTTATCTAATATTGTTTTCAATTTTCTGTCTATTTGTTGCTTGTAAATTGTTAATCTTTCTTTATACGTTGCGTTCAATTTGATTTTCAAGTATACAAACATATACTCGCCCACAGTCACTCACATCTATTTACACATCCACGCGCGCGCGCATGCACGCACGCACATAGAGAGAGAGAGAGAGAGAGAGAGAGCATGCATGCGTGCATATGTACTGTTGTGAAGAATACATTCTTCGATGATTAATATATAGATCAATTTTCTGAATATGATACATAATTAATAAAATGTTCATATTTAGATTAAAAACGAATACAATTTTTTGGTATTAATAGTGTTAACAGCAGAAATATGAATTAATATTATTAATAAATGTTTGTTTACGCAATAAGATTATAGAATTTTTGGATGATCATATTTAGACTCAATTTTTTTGTAAATAATGTATGGTTATAAAAATTTAAAATGACATGGAATTTCTGAGACATCATTATTAAATTCATAACTAAAGTAATGAAATGCAGATATAAGTAAGTCAAGAGGACATGAGGAAAATTTAATTGAATAAATTTATATCTTTTTTTATTATTTTTTTTTTAAAAATCAACTAATCTTTTATTAATCTTACATAGAATCTTAAGAATCTTATAAGAATCTTGGATACATAAAGAATGGATGAACAAGGAATATAAAAGCAAGATGCAGAGCCTTACGCATTACTTATGAGTAGTTTGGCAATTCGCATTAAAAGGCATTAAAGGATATTAAAGGCATTAAAGGGAAGTTGACTGGAATCTGACTCTATACGATTTAAAGACATTACTGAACGCCAACGACTAATAATAAATAAGGCTTGAAAACTAATTGTACTGATAACTTCTTATTTCACAAACTTTTTTATATAGTCATGATATGTATAATCTCGAGCGACTGATTTATAATGAAAGAACTAGATTAAACAACTTTTAAGGTTGCAAATTTACAAAATTATATTCATAATACATAATATTAAATAGTAATTAAAATGATTATATTAATAGTTTTGAAAGTCTTCTCTAATTAAAAGTAAACTTTGTATTTATGTCTTTAACGCAGGTGCAATTTGATAAATGGAATGAACTTTTGATTATCACGTATACAAACTCTTAATAAATGAAACAGAAACTAGATCTACAAATGGCCTATAAAACAAGAAGGTTTCGTACGTGTCCAATACTTGCATAAACTAATTATGAATTATAGAGAATCTAATCATTGGGATTCCCTTATTTGCCATACCATTAGAAAATATTTCATAATAATTACTTTTATATAGATGAAGATTGAAGATCTGTTAGTATTTTTCACCATCAAATAGAATTCCACTAATTTAACACATATCTGGATCACTTGTCTTATAAATATTGGTTTATTTACTTATTATAATAATAAAATGAAATGCATTCATTAGATAAGAGTAATTTTCTAATGTATTTTTTAATGTATTTTAATACTAGATTTATAATTATCAATAGATAGAAGTTTGGCTATTACGAAAAAATTTACAATTTTATAATCAATAAATTTTAGAACAAATATGTAATAAACGTACGCAAGATATTTCTATACAATGTAAAAATTCAAATAGGTATAACTTTTCAATCTATGTGGTACACAGTTTTGACCTTTTACGAAAGTCTGCTTGGAACAAGTTGACATTAATTAACAATAATATTCAGCCCCTTTAAAAGCGAACTTGGTGTAATTATAAACATTTAGTTAGCGATCTATAATTATATTGTATTTCTTATA